AGACCATAACCCTTTTGCTCTATCCCTATAAAGAAATTCATTTGTACAGATTTCAATGCAGAGTTTTTGTCCCATGATGGCTAAAATTATCTGAAAGGCTAATTTTTTTATCCCATACGCATGAAAAAGTTGAGGGAACACATCAATATCTGTCATTTATTGGAATTTCTGAGGCTCAAAATTGTCAAATCTAAAGAGAACATTAGCAGAAAATATTAATTTAGCTTCAACAGAAATCCAATGACATTAAGACACTAATTTTACCCAGCAGAGCCTGTCATTGCTCTGATTGTATAGTGTCCTCCTGGATGTCTGTTCATGTATCTGGGCCAAAATGCCAACGGGGACACTGGCGACACCTCCCCCCAGCCATGCCAATGGACCGTCACCATGGTGACAGCAGCCACGGCACAGTGCAATATTGTGTGTAGAAGTTTGGGACAAATAAGGAGAGTTAGACAGCGGTGCTTACAAACTGTGTGAACCAAGACAATGAAGGTGGAAGGACACGTCAAATTGTGCTTTATCCTTCCTTTTTTTGTTCTTGTTTTCTTACACAGTGGGACAGCTATATTTTGACAATATAGAATCACTTTTAGTGATAAGTATTTCGAGTTTCTAAACATAAATATTACTATGGAAGACCACTACTGCGCAGGCCTGTGTCACAGTTGACCCTTAATTCTCCGTTTACCAAAGCTTATGTAACTGTGCTCATTCACAGGCTGTTTTCAATGACAAAGCCCTCAAGTGACTCTCTTTTTGGCAGCGATTGGGTGTTTTTGTTAAGCTTTTTAAATAAGCAGATATGAAGCTGAGCTAAATGACTCGTATCTTCACTGAAGGGTTCTTGGCACTCTACTGCAAGGCTTTTCGTTGACAGAGCATAAAAATAACATTTTTATGACATCCAACAACTTGGTGAACATTTGTGTTCCATGTTTAATAATTCTTACATAATAACTCTTTATCTTTAAGTTCAAAAACAAAACAAAGAAGAGACATTTTAAATGTGTTACAGAATAATAACAATAGGAGCGCCTTGGTAGCCAAATGGTTACACCAATGCTGCATGGCCAGTTAATTTCCAGCTGGCAACCTTTTGTTGCTTGTGTTGCATGTGCATGTCCCAAACTTGAATCCCTAGAGTCAATGATAACACACAGAGTTCTGAGTTGTAATGTGCTGGACAATTTTGGGTCAACCTCAGTCAATTTCGAATCATTGGCCTGAGATCACCTATCAGTCATACTCACTTGAGTGTCATCTGCATAGCAAGGAAATCAATACTGTCCTTACAAATGTTTCTTAGTGGTAAAAGAAAAAAACTTGGAGTTGTAGAGTTGAGCCTTCGGGAACTCCTTATGAACAGCTTAGCACCTTTTTTCCAACTCAGTATCAAAAGCTGCACTGTAGTACAAGGCAATTCTTTCTATTATAGATGATTTACAATATTCGCAGGGTAGTGTAATTTTCTATATATTTCTTATTGTGGTTAATATGCTGCCCCCAGCCATTGTTTGCCTCTCCACCACATGAAAAAGCCCTCAACAAACACAAAGCGTTAGTCCCTCAGGCTCATGATCTCCATAATCTTCACTGGTATTTTCTACGTTGTACAGGTTTCCAGGATGTGCATGTGATGATCTTCATCGGTTTCGGCTTCCTTATGACCTTCCTGCAGCGCTATGGCTTCAGCAGCGTGGGTTTCAACTTCCTCATCGCAGCTTTTGCCCTGCAGTGGGCCACCCTCATGCAGGGCTTCTTCCACGGTATGCATGAAGGCAAGATCCACATCGGGGTGGAGAGGTACGTGCTGAACATACTGTACATGCAGCAATGCACACATACACAACAACAATATGCTGAACATGCAAAATTTTCCAATTTGTAATATAGTATTTGTAATTTCTAAATCCTCTCTCTTACACTTCAGATTTACACACATTCTGAGGCATGTTAAAAAGTTCACAAAGACACACACACATAAACAAATCACTTTCTCTCATTATCCTTGCTTTTGCCACTCACTGACAACAGCTTAATATTTAAAGTATAAGAACAAATACAAAAACAAACTGGCTACCATACTGTACTCATTACAGACTATGGGACTAAAGCGTTACGCCTATTCCTTGAATGAATTTCACAATCAATTTTCCTAGTACTTTCTTACAAGAAATGCAGGACAAAACATTTTGTATTTTTAAAAGACATGAAAGAAAAAAACACGTCACAAGATGGTATTTTTCATCTGTAATTTTGTGGCTATTTAATGCATCTTTTTGTGGTTTATATATCACCAATAAACACTGAATGTCTGGACTCACTGAATGTTTTAACCTTGCATTTAAAGCAACATTAATTGATATATTGGTCAGTAGAACAAGCTGTACATATATTAAAAATGGCGAGTATGTTAGCAAATAGTTACCATAAATCTAAAACAATGAGCTAAAATACGTAAAATCACTTTAGAACTAAAGAAAATTGTAGTTTTATTTCTAATATTAACTATAGATTAATGAAACCTCTGACAGGACATTATACATGTTGTTATTTTCTCCATGCTCTGCATAAACTACTATTATGTCTTTTATTAAACTCTGTTTCTTTCAGTATGATCAATGCTGATTTCTGCACCGGCTCTGTGCTCATCTCATTTGGAGCCGTTTTGGGTAAAACCAGCCCCGTCCAGCTGCTGGTCATGGCATTGTTCGAGGTCACACTGTTTGCAGTCAATGAGTACATCCTGCTGTCTGTGCTGGGGGTGAGTTATAAAAAACAGATATACTGCAGCATTAATTACCTGAAAATCCTCCCTTTGATGTTTTCTGTGTGATCTCTGAAAAATGCGGTGAAAAAAAGCACTGACTGATTAGAGTAGATTTGATTCATCACATATATACATTTTTTAAATCAGGTTGTGGCTAACTTTGTTTCAGACCAGGGATGCCGGTGGCTCCATGACCATCCACACGTTTGGAGCCTACTTCGGCCTCATGGTGACCCGAATCCTATACCGGCCAAACCTGGATAAGAGCAAACACCGAAACAGCTCAGTCTACCATTCTGATCTATTCGCTATGATTGGTAAATATCTTCCAATTTGCAGAAGAGTGAATTATTAGTAGCTATACCCAGGTTTAAAACATCTTTTTGTACTGCCATCTAGTGGTTTCCACGCACAAAAGGCTTTTTCTCCGTTCTATACAAGATTTAGAAGATTTTCTGTAAAATTTTGTTGCACTTCATTAGACAAATATTTTTATTTGATATTTTTGGTGATACCAAACAGCCTCATGGACTGAAGTCACATGACTTGGCCTCAGATAACGAAACAAGTCGTTATCTGATGACTTTAGACAAAATCTCATGACTTTAGCCTTTTGATTGGGGATTTTAATGTCCTCCCCAATCCCAAAGATTAAAAATGGTGTTATTAAGAGGTGTGCAGCAAATGATCTCTACATATTCCTTATAATAGATATACTTTGAATCAGTCCGTCAGCAGCCAATCACACTCGGGCTAGCTGCAGAGAAAGGTGCATTTGTCCGTAAAAAGCATTCATTATTTCTGTAAATTTACTTTACCAAAGTACTCGATTAGGACTCTAAAGACTTACTGGTCTTGTCTTGGGACAATGACTTTGTACCAACTCTAATACCAAATACAAATACGGGCTCCATCAAACAAGTCTCTCATTGGCTTTATCTGGGATTAACCTAAATTTAGTCCTGGTTTTAAAAAAATTCCCTTCTTGAGCAGCAGCATGTGCTGCTTTCAGAGGCAGCTGGACTTCAGAATATTAGATACTTTCTCAACATTTAGTGTTTCTCACAGACTCCTAAAAGTGAGCATGTTGCATGCTAGAGTTGCACTTCACTGCTATTTGGCACTGTCATTTGTGAAACCAGCGTCAACATCATTTGTAGCTACAAACCGATCGAACGCTGTCCTAACTTGTCTGCTTCTCAGGTACCATCTACCTGTGGATGTTCTGGCCCAGCTTCAACTCTGCCATCACTGCTCATGGAGACGACCAGCACCGCACAGCCATGAACACCTACTACTCTCTGGCAGCCTGCACTCTGTCCACATACGGCATGTCCGCCCTCACAGCACACGACGGCAAGCTGGACATGGTGAGGGCTCTATGATATGGAGGGACAGGGATTGTCAAGATTGAAGAAGTTTAGAATAGATAGTTATGTAGACATCCCAGTCTCAATAAACGTAATACTCCCTTAATTTCCTGTACCTATATTTTTAGTGTTTAAGTGTTTTTTCAGAACTAGTTTAAGTTTTTAGTTAACTATAACAAGCTTGGTTCCGAATCAAAATGAAGACAGTGAAGGTGAAAAGGTTAAAACAGCCTGACAGCAGGTGAAATAAATTATCTTGCTGACACAGAAGAATCCAAGGGAAACAACTAAAAATGTTCTGTAACATCCTGATCTGTCAGCAGGGTGGATCCCTTCTTATCAGAGTTTAAAACTCATGACATGTTACTCAAAAGATAGAAGCTGATGAATGTGTCACCTGAACATACACACCTACCCCAAAAACGTGAGTGGCTAAGTCACATGAAGGCTCATGTGAGTCAAACCCTGTATCACTGCTTCATGCTCAGCTGTCAGCATGTCATCCTGAAATCAAGATGAGACATTCCTGCACTGATACTGATCAAACCTAAGAGACAATCATGTTCAGTGTAGTAACTTCCACTATATAGCTTGTTGATAGTAAAGACAAGCTAATCAGTGGATGAAGTCAGCTGGTCTCAAAGGCTTTCTATCTATTTGCTGCCACATCTACATGTGGCGTGAAAGAGTTTGCAACATGTTACAAACACACTCATTGTGTGAAAGTTCCTGCTGCTCAGATCAGAAAGTCTCATCTAATCATCTGTTACACACATTTTCTAAGTTGTTCCCTTTACGGTTGTGCAGATCCATTTTCCTGACTGTTTTTGGCAAATGTAGAGATTTTTTTAAACTTAAATGTTATAAATGAAGTTGATCGTAGTTTATCCACTCCATTTACCTCAAGCCACGAGTGTCAGTGATCTAGTTGGTCTCTAATCATTGGTGGTTTGTGGTTTCGAAAGTGGCTAATTTAAAGCAGTTGGGTGAGTCAGCCAAAGCTGATGCCAGGATTCTAGGAAAACTGAGATCATGGGTCCCTTAACCCTTTATAGGGAACTCATTGAAATACTTGGAAATTTAATTAAAAGTTATTGGTGGATATAAGAAGACATTTTTTCTTTTTTGACTTTTTTAAAAAGTTTCAGTTTTAGGCTGCAAATCAAAGTCAATGATGTCTAGGTTGGTTGACACAACAACAATCTGTGGCACAGCAGGTCTCCTCTTCCCATAGAAGGACTGAGCAGACAGCTTCTGCAAAAGACATATGCCACATCAATACACTATGA